CCCCCCCCCCCCCGTTGCAGAGGTGAACGTCAAACATGCCTCCCCTGCTGCCGGGTAGACGTCCGCCCAGGGAGGGTGAGGAGCCACCACCTGGCTCTTACCTCCCTGGGGGCGTGCCACTACCCTCCCCTCCCATGGAAGGGTATAAGCGCTTGCCTCCTGGCTGACTCTGGCTAGCGGACAACGCCCTAGGGCGTTGTGTTTTCTGTGCTTGGGGTGCCCTCCGTTTGCCCATGGCAGGACCAACTGGCTAGCGGATTCGATCTGAACCCTCTGGTTCATTGCACTCCGAAGCTCCAAGATTGTACCCACCATTCCCTGAACAAAGAGGGTGGAGGATGTCCAGTCTGCGTCACTGAGAGGGACATACCCCGACTCAGCTTGTCGGCGAAAAACACGTGCGTCTAAGGCCGTGTCTCGTAGCATGGTAGAGGCCCTGGCCAAGAGAGCCAGGCGGCACTAGGGGGTGTCGCATGTAGATGTGCGGTGGCCCACCAGTAAAAAATGTCGCCTGGTCTAGGAGGCTGGTGCGTTCTGCCTCCAAAGTCTCCAGAGTGCTGGTCACGCATAATAATGTGCTCAAGCAACTCTGCCCTCAGGGCTGGATGGGTCGTCTTCAATTGGCAAAGACACCCATGGAACGCGGCTATCCCCGTTTGCCAAATTTGTGGTACCGGGGTCTGGGGAAGGAGCCTTGGAATCCGGTTGGGGGCGTTTTGGTCTCATCCCACGCTATGGGGTCTGATCCCGAAACCACACCGACCGGGTAGCGTTTGGTCCAGTGGGAAGTGTTGCCTAATGTTATCCCCACCCGGGGGCCTTAAGCATTACATCCTCCGCGGCTGACCAACGCCGCCCATCAACACCGTTTGCGTGCTCTGCGCCCCACTCCGCACTCAGGCGGACAGGGAGAGACTTGCCGACGGGGTTGCTTTGGATCCCGACGCCTGTGATCCCATAAGCGTTGAAGCAACCTTCACTGGGATCGATGATACTCCGCCTCACCCCAAAAGCGTGGCTCACCGAGTCATACAGATGCAAGACTCTGAGGGGCCGCCCGGAGTACCGGCTGTATCCGACGCGAGCGAACTGCATCTCCTTTCACTTTAAATATGTGAGAGGGAGCGTGTTCGACTGTGCGTCTCATGACAGGGTCGGTTCCCTCTGGGGACGCCCGTGGGTCGGTAAGAAAGGAGTCAAAACCCACAGTGGGGACCGGACACAAGGAAAAATTCGTTACCGTTGT